AGATGGATGTGACCAGAGCAGTGTGAGACAGATGGATGTGTCCAGAGCAGTGTGAGACAGATGGATGTGTCCAGAGCAGTGTGAGACAGATGGATGTGTCCAGAGCAGTGTGAGACAGATGGATATGTCCAGAGCAGTGTGAGACAGATGGATGTGTCCAGAGCAGTGTGAGACAGATGGATGTGACCAGAGCAGTGTGAGACAGTGGAGAGACAGAGTGGAGGAGGAGGGTTGTCTCCATGTGTTCATATCAAATACAGGTAAATCACCATGTGTGCCGTTTGTGTGACCCTCATCCTCTTCATTGATGTTTGGTCTAATTCATAGGACACAGCAGATACCAGAAAAATGGATGCAAGACTTTGTGTTAAAAAAAGAGGCTAGACCAGATGCCAGTAAAATATGCTATATCGTGAAGTTCCTCCAAATACCAGAAGAAGGAACTGATGCTACTCAACACATTTGCCCGACCAGAGGCCACAAGTAGATCAGATGCTTGACAAGATGTCACAAAAGACCAGCTGAAAAACCAGATGTTACAAGAAATGACAAATGCCGGGTCAGACGTCACAAACCAGCTGTGAGACAGATACAAGTGAGCAGAGCAGTGTGAGACAGTGGAGAGACAGAGTGGAGGAGGAGGGTTGTATCCATGTGTTCTCATCAAATACAGGTAAATCATCATATGGACTTATTCATGTGTTGCTCCTCCCTCTTCACTGCATTTTTGTCTCAATCTTTAGGAAACATAAGATAAAAGACAAGGTCCCAGAAAAATACTGGACCAGTTGCTGCAAAACTTGAAAGATGCCAGACCAGATGACACTAGAGATCCAGAGGGTTGCTTGGTGGCTGAGTGGACAGCAAGAAGGTCCTGGGTTCAAACCCCGCTTGGCCTTTCTGAGTGGAGTCTGTACAAGTGTCCTCCGGGTGCTCCAGTTTGCCCTGCACTAAAAACATGTCCTAACCAAGTCGAGCATTAACATCTGAGCCAGTTTTCAACAACTTTGACCTTTATTTTAATTATTTTAATAAAGCAAACATATAAACTTGATTTTCTTCTCTTACTTTCTTGGGGCAGGGACAAAGTAGTGTAACTAATGTAATATACATTTACAAAATAACTTATCCAACACTGATGTTTATGAAATTTTGGTTCATATCCAGAGTTTCTAAAATATATCCATTTGGGACACTGACAAATGATTTCTTTGAACAGATCTAACTTGTGATGCAACACTGACATTTCCCCACTGTGGAACGAAAAAAAGATCTCTTTCTCTCTTTCAATATTTTTAACGGTTTTAAGAGTTTTACGGTAGATATGCATCATAGTAATACTATACAACTAAACCAATCATATGTTTTAACAGAAACAATAATACAGTAGTCACATAATAGAACAAAATTGTAGCAAAATGTATCATCACTACTGCCCCTCCATGATATATATATAGTGTCTGTTCATCTGATTGGGGGGAAGTCAGTGCCAATCACTAACCTCACTTTCACTGATAGCATTGAAGGATAGAACGCGGCCAAATTAACAGGATTATATATATAACAGCATGTTGTGGTCTGAATAGAATTTCTGTTGGAAAAATCACAACGTATTGAATGAAACAAACATAAGTATAGGTACCCCAGTTTGACTATAATATTTACACACGGGATGAGTCAGAGGCCAACATAAAGACATGTGAAAAGTAGAACTTTAATGTTTTGAGAGCGAGGAACAAGTTTATGGAGAATAAAACATCTTCTCTTCTCATGAGATCTCATTGTCATATCAGTGCCTCAGATTCGTGTTACGAGGTCAACACATTTGTTGCATGGGTCTTCTGTTGCTAGGGTCCACTGTTGCTAGGTGCATCTTTTAAAACAGTGCATCTTTTGAACCAGAGCACATTTGCAAAACTTTGGCTGTGACACAAATTGTTTTTGTCAAACTTCACTCGAGGATTTCTTACACCAGGAGACATCACTGCTGACCAGTGATACTCAGACCGCTGCTGACCACCTGCTGACACCTGCTGACCCCTTCTGTCCGGACTGTGAGACTGTGAGACTGTAGACCACAAAACAGGTTTAAATCAGGTTTATGTGACTTTAAACACACGAGGAACAACATTTAACAGCATTTATTCACATCTACTTAGATTTATGGACATTGGTTGTTCACCCCTTATGGACCAATGGTTCTATGTGTTTTTTGTCATTGCATTTGCTGTGTTTGAACTGTTTGATTCTCTGATCTGTGTTGGCGAATCCACAACTGTGTAAAGTCCTCAGAGATAACTACTGTTGTGATTTAGGGATACACAAAAACACATTGAAGGGAATTGAATTGAGTATTAGTGATGTTGTGCTGTCAGCTCCTGCAGGTGCATCATAAAGTATCAATGAAACAATAATAACAGACATTAGTTTTGGTCCGTGCCCTCACTGTAGTTTGTTACTTTCTTGTAACGTAGACTATTGCACTTTATTTTAATTGCTGAAATTAAACTGCAAAAATCCTCTACAGTATGTGCTTTTGCGACACTGTATAAATAAACGTAAAAAAACTGTGACAACAAACCGGGCCGGGCCGGGCCGTTGAGGAGGCAAAAATCCTGGGGTCGTTTTTTGGTCCCAGTCCAGCCCTGGTACAACCTGCAGGCTGAAATGTTTAAGGCTGGAAAAATGCGCTCTAAAAAACAATGCAATTATTTCATATATTCTAGCCCATTTTAATTTGTTTTGGCCATAATTTTAATGAGTAGGAAATGAGACTTGGACTTGACTTGGACTTGAGGGTCCAGGACTTTGACTTGACTTGGACTTGCGAGTCCAGAGACTTGGACTTGACTTGGATTCCAGGGCATGGACTTAGACTTGAGTTGGACTTGAGGGTCCAGAGACTTGGACTAGACCTGGACTCCTGGGCTAGGGACTTGGACTTGACTTGGACTCACGGGTCAGAGACTTGTGTGCATTTCTGCTTTCAGGCCACAAAATATGGACCTATGCAATAAAATCCAAGTTCCTGTCTCTAGAACAGTTTGGTACCATCACTAGTTTTCACATTCATGTTTTCTTTGCCTCTGTCACAACTTTAGCTCAGCTTTTTCAGACAGTAATGTGAAAAGATAGAACCAGCCTCACTCAGCCAGCGAGCTCTCAGCCCTGAGAGTCAAATAGTGACTGACGGGGTTCTTTCTTACAAGTATGAGCCTTATTATAAGATGTATATAAAACAGCATGTTGTGGTCTGAACAGATTGTTTCATAACTAATCCCTTCCCAACAGACAAACAAAAGTATAGGTACCCCGTCTTTTAACGTAACTTATCTAACATACAGTATTATTACACACAAGATGAAAACGTCTGATATAAATGTACTGTTTTGAGATGAGGATCTCAATATATGGACATACATAGTGTCATTTATTGAGTTTTGAATGTTAGGTACCCCAGCTTTAACTCATGGGTTAGATCTACAGGTTTTTTATGAATCCAGACTCTTAAACTGAGCTGAATCCTGTACTCCATGTGTTTTGACAGTAAATGGTTGAATAAAAAGGTTCTGAATAAGTGAATGTATTCTCATATTTATTTATTTATTTATTTATTCAGAGGATAAGCCCCTTGAGATGAATCATCTCGTTTTCGAGGGGGTCCTCAAGATTTCACAAGGACAGATACAGCAAAACAGATGCAAATAAAACAAAAGAAAATCATAAAAATAAAAATAAAAAAAACACAAAACAAATAGTAATAATAAAAAAAAATAAAAATAAAAAAGCAACCATAACAAATACACACACAATCACTCACACACACACACACACATCGTGACTGTACTGATGTTACACAAAATATAGATAATACTATTAATATTGATGGTAATAACAATAATCGGGAGACAAGACAAGTTTAGGTCTCATAAACTAAGATCAAAACATCGACATGAATACCGGAGATATTGTATCAAAGCAGATTTTAACAGAGGCAGAGAAGTTAGAGAGCGAATAGACAGCGGCAAACTGTTCCAGTCAGACGGAGCTTTAAATTTAAATGCATGTTTTCCAGCTTCTTTATTCACTCTTGGAACTACAAAAAAAGACTGATTTGCATGACGCAAACTGTACGAGGATTGGAAAGGAATCAGATATTGTTTTAAATATTCTGGAAAACTGAGATTAATGCATTTGAAAATAAACAGTAGCCAATGTAGCTGACGTCTGGAGGACAGAGAGAGCCATGACAGCTGCTCATACATCAGGCAGTGATGGGTTCTGAACGGACAGCGAAGGATGAACCTGCACAGGCTGTTGTAGGAGACAGTCAGAGGCTGAAGAACAGAGGCAGTAGTGTTTTGATAAATTATATCGCAATAATCAAGAATGGGGAGAATCAGTTGAGAAATGATCCTCTTCCTTATTGATAAGCTAAAACAATTAATCGATTGATAAAGTAATTTTAAGCGATAAGAAATTTTGTTTGTAATGTTTGAATCAAGCCATACGCCGAGATATTTAAATATTTAACTAGGGAATCTCTGTTGTGTGAAATGTTTGCAGTGATGTTTGACATGTCCTGTTCCTCCACAGATCCTTGGGCTCCTTCTCCATAAAAACCTGTGGACAGGACTCTGCCTTTAAGCTAAGTCCTCACTCTCTGACACTATGCCTGGCTCCTCTGCTAGTTTCTCTCTGTCCGGGAGGACCTCTCTCTACTCCTCTTCTTCTCTCTCCCCTCGCCCTTCTGTTCCTCCTCCTCCTCCTCCTCCTCCACCTCCTCCTGCTAAGGGTAAGTCTAAGTCTAAGTCTCGCTCTGCTCCCAAGCGCCCTAAACCTTACTCTGCTCCTGCTGTTCCGCGCTTGGTCCCTGTGTCTTGGCTCCGCACTGTTCACCCTGGCAGATCCTCTCTCGTCCTCCTCCCTCTGCTTATTCTACTCCTTCTCAGCGCTCCTCTCGCTCTCCTCCTCGTCCTCCTCCTCGCTCTGCTCCTCCTATGCCCTCCTCTGCCCCTCCTCCTCCCGGGCGTCTTCAGCTCACTTCTCTGACTGACTCTTGGTTCGCTCCTCTTCCGTGCGTCCGTAAAGTTCCCAGACGCACTCCTCCTGCTAAGGCTAACTCTGTCCCTATTGCCCCGCAGTCGGAGCCCACCCCTGCCATCCCTGGACCTTCCTCGGCCTGGGCGGTGTCTGAGAAGGCCCAGAAGCACAAGCGCAAAAGGTCACGTGAGCCGGACGCCAAACATCCACCCAAAAAGCACAAGTCTTGTTAAGAACTGATGCACTCTCTGCTTTGTTTCTTTTAAGGAGCAGAGAGGAACTGGGGCTCACAAGACCGTGTCCCGGTGATGGGTGATGTATGACTGTGTAAATATGTGCATAGTTGGATTCCAGTTTGATCCCTTTTTAAAAAACACAAAAAAACACAAAAAAATCTTACGTTTGTTGTTGTTATCTTTTGCTGGATCTACGTTTGATCCTTTATATAGGTTACTTTTATTACTGTTTTTGCTGGATCACGTTTGATCCAATATAGGTTTGTTACTGTTAATATTGTTGTGTTCCCGTTGTCAATCCCGTTGGATTCCTTAAAAAAATAAAAAATATATCCAGTATGTTTGTTTTGTACCATAAATGGACAGGTTCTGTCTGTTACTGTATTATTTTTGTTGTGTTGCAAGTGGTCAGATTTCTGTTCGATCCCTTTAAAAAACACAAAAGAGACCTCAACCAGTCAAGATGCAGAAACTGCTGCCAGTGGTTAGAAATTAGAACAGGAGCCTCTGAAGCCACAACATTAGGCTTTATCCATCTCAGCACGTCCAATATACTCTACACCCAGCGGCTACACCACCTCTGCTGCTTTGACCTGTCCTACTCCACCCAGCGGCTACACCACCTCTGCTGCTGTGACCTGTCCTCCTCCACCCAGCGGCTTCACCACCTCTGCTGCTGTGACCTGTCCTACTCCACCCAGCGGCTACACCACCTCTGCTGCTGTGACCTGTCCTCCTCCACCCAGCGGCTACACCACCTCTGCTGCTGTGACCTGTCCTCCTCCACCCAGCGGCTGCACCACCTCTGCTGCTGTGACCTGTCCTCCACCCAGCGGCTACACCACCTCTGCTGCCGTGACCTGTCCTACTCCACCCAGCGGCTACACCACCTCTGCTGCCGTGACCTGTCCTACTCCACCCAGTGGCTACACCACCTCTGCTGCTGTGACCTGTCCTCCTCCACCCAGCGGCTACACCACCTCTGCTGCTGTGACCTGTCCTACTCCACCCAGTGGCTACACCACCTCTGCTGCTTTGACCTGTCCTACTCCACCCAGCGGCAACACCACCTCTGCTGCTGTGACCTGTCCTACTCCACCCAGTGGCTACACCACCTCTGCTGCTGTGACCTAGAGTGCTGTTGCATTTTAGTGACATTGTTTGCTAATTTTGGAACTATTTTTTTATTAGTTTTTTTATGGATGGATGGGTCTATCTATCTATAGCTTTGATTCACAGGTTTGCTTTGTAGGGATAAAAAAGTAAGTATACAGTAGGTTAACTACCTCTAAAAACTGTCACATTACTTTATGAGACTTTCTCTGTTTTAGATAAAAAGGAGAAGTAAAACATTGAAAATGGCCCAATCAGGAAATACACTGTGCAGGTACAGTATAAAGTTATATTTGCACACATGATGAAGCACAGTACATTCATTTGCTTGTTTTTCATGACCAGAGAGGAGGAACAGATGAGTTCAGACAGTGGAGAGACGGAGTGGAGGAGGAGGGTTATATCCATGTGTTCAAATCAAAAACCAGGTAAATCATTGTGTGAACGTTCCATTTGTCCCTTGAAGTGTGCGTCACTTCATGTATTATCATATTATTTATAGGACACAGCAGTGATCAGAGCAGATTCATGTCAGATGCCATTTATGTCAAAGCAGGTGCCACAGATGAGCTGTAGCTCTTGCAGCGGCCGATGCCACAAAAATGAGCCTGTCATTTCTGTATCCAAGCGTGTCCAAGTTTCAACTTTGATTCACAGGTTTCTTTCATCCATGCTCTCTCATTGAGCTTAAAAAGAAGATAATAGTCATATCAGGTAAAATAGGTAAAACAATAAAAAGAAATAGGGCTGGGAGCAGATGTAACCGGCTGAAGAAGCGCCATCCAAGGAGCCATCTGCACCAGGAGCAGAGAGATGGGCCCCAGACCCCACCAGGCCCAGGACTCAGACCCCATAGGACCCAGAGGAGAGAGGAGGCCCCAGACCCCCACCGGATCCAAGAGCCAGACCCCCGAAGCCACAGCAGACCCCAGCCCTCAGTGCAGAGGGCTCCTCCAGAGGAAACACTGGGGACACTAAAACAATACAATAATACAATAGAAAGTAGAACAATAAAATGTGACAATAAAAAGAAAAATGGCAGCTGCCTAATATTGATAATAACAATAGTAAATGGGTAGATACAATAAATTATTAAAAATAGTAAATGATAAAAATAAATAAAAAATAAGAATGTGTCTAAAAACATAAATAGATGTACTAAAAAGCAATAATAGATAATAAATACTAATCAAAAGCTACTCTAAAAAGGTGCGTCTTGAGCCCACTCTTAAAAATATGAACGTTCTCTGCGGCCCTGAGCTCCTCCGGCAGACTGTTCCAGAGACGGGGGCCGTAGTGTTGGAAAGACGCCTCACCGTGAGTGTGTGTCCTGACTTTTGGAATGGTTAGGAGTCTGCTGCCGGAGGAGCGCAGGGGCCGGGAAGGTTCATAGGATAAAAGCAGTTCTGAAAGATAAGAAGGCCCAAGACCATTAAGACATTTAAAAACCATTAAAAGAACCTTAAAATTGATCCTGAAACACACGGGGAGCCAATGCAGCGATTTTAAAACCGGTGTAATGTGGTCCCGCCCCCTGGTCTTAGTCAGGACACGTGCGGCCGAGTTTTGAAGTAATTGTAAACCTGAAATGTTCTTTTTGGGAAGACCAGAGAGCAGGGCATTACAGTAGTCAATGCGACTGGTGATAAAAGCATGCATCAGCGTCTCCGTGTTGGCCCGAGAGAGAATGGGGCGGACTCTGGCGATGTTCTTTAAATGATAAAAACCTATTTTTGTGATGTTCTTGATGTGAGGAATAAAAGTCAGCTCAGAGTCAAAGATTACGCCCAGATTTTTCACTTGTGATGATGGATTAAAAGAGTGTGATTGGAGTTTCGGTAAAAGTTTCTCTCTCTGGGCCTCAGGACCGATGACTAAAACCTCAGTTTTGTCCTGGTTGAGCTGGAGAAAGTTTTCTGCCATCCAGGATTTCAGGTCTAAAATGCAGTTAAAAAGACTATCCATTGGCCTGGTGTCGTCAGGAGACATGGAGATGTACAGCTGTGTATCATCTGCATAACTGTGGAAGTTAATTCCATGTCTCCTGATGACACCGCCAAGAGGGAGCATGTACAGGTTAAAAAGGACTGGACCTAAAATGGAACCCTGGGGCACACCACATGTGATTTTATGGACCTGAGAGGAGCAGGTATCCAAACTCACCATGAAGGATCTGTCTGTTAAATAAGAAGTGAACCATTTGTGGACAGCACCAGAGAGGCCGAGGTGTTGTAGGCGTGATAAAAGAATGGTGTGGTCTACTGTATCAAAGGCAGTGCTAAGATCCAGTAGAACCAACACGGTCACCTTTTTAGAATCATAATTTAGTCTAAAATCATTTAAAATCTTTAAAAGAGCAGTCTCTGTGCTGTGGTTCGCCCTAAATCCTGATTGAAATGTCTCTAAAATTTGCTGCTGATCTAAAAAGGCATTGAGCTGGGTAAAAACAAGTTTTTCTAAAATTTTGCTTAAAAATGGCAGGTTGGATACCGGTCTGTAGTTGTTAAAATCATTAAAATCCAAATTGCTCTTCTTCAGAAGGGGTCTCACCACAGCCGCTTTGAAGGCTGCAGGAAAGACCCCAGTCTGAAGAGAGCAATTCATCAGGTTTAAAAGCTCCTCTCTGAAAGATTCATAATGTGGCAAATGTGTTGAGTAACATCAGTTCTTCCTTCTGGTATTTGGGGGAACTTCACGGTATAGGATATTTTACTGGCATCTGGTCTAGCCTCTTTTTTTTACACAAGTCTTGCATCAATTTTTCTGGTTTTCAATTTTTCTAGCACCTGTTTTGCACCATCCCGTCAGGCATTTTTCTGGTATCTGCTGTGTCCTATCAATTAGACCAAACGGCAATGAAGAGGATGAGGGACACACAAAACGGCACACATGGTGATTTACCTGTATTTGACATGAACATATGGAGAAAACCCTCCTCCTCCACTCTGTCTCTCCACTGTCTCACACTGCTCTGGACACATCCATCTGTCTCACACTGCTCTGGACACATCCATCTGTCTCACACTGCTCTGGACACATCCATCTGTCTCACACTGCTCTGGACACATCCATCTGTCTCACACTGCTCTGGACACATCCATCTGTCTCACACTGCTCTGGTCACATCCATCTGTCTCACACTGCTCTGGACACATCCATCTGTCTCACACTGCTCTGGACACATCCATCTGTCTCACACTGCTCTGGACACATCCATCTGTCTCACACTGCTCTGGACACATCCATCTGTCTCACACTGCTCTGGACACATCCATCTGTCTCACACTGCTCTGGTCACATCCATCTGTCTCACACTGCTCTGGACACATCCATCTGTCTCACACTGCTCTGGTCACATCCATCTGTCTCACACTGCTCTGGACACATCCATCTGTCTCACACTGCTCTGGTCACATCCATCTGTCTCACACTGCTCTGGTCACATCCATCTGTCTCACAGCTGGTTTGTGACGTCTGGGCCAGCATTTGTCATTTCTTGTAATATCTAGTCCAGTAAGTATTTACCTCTGATGGGGCAAATACTTTAAGTAACATCTGGTCTTCCTTCTGGCATTTGGTGCATTTGATATCTGACTTTTTTCTGACATCTGGTCCAACACCAGTTCTTGCATATGGTCTTTTTTGACATATGGTTTTCCCTCTGGCCTTTTATGGCTTCTGCTTTGGCGTGTGTTTTGTGATGTCCGGACTGGAATATGTTATGGCATATGTCACTGATGTAGAGTCTTTTCTGACATCTGTCAGATTTGTAGCATCTGAAATGGCATGTGTTTTGATTCTGGTCAGGGATCTATCACATTATCCAACATCTGGTCTGTCATCTGGCCTTTTTCTTGGACGTTGGCTGGCATCTGATGTGTCCTAATGAATAGTACATAAATACAATGAAGAGGAGGGACACAAAAAACTGCACATGATTTATGATGTATGATTTACCTGTATTTGATAGAAAC